ACGTGCGCAGCAGCCGCGTGCCCGGGCGAGAAGGCACCCTGCACCCAGAGGTGGGCCCCAGCCCTTTGTCCGGCGCGGAGGCAAGGCTCTGGGTGCCCCCCCACAGCACGCCAGGAAGGATCACAGACTGCGTCACCTCTTCGTTAATAATTATTACTATTTACACCCATCTAAACAGGAAGGCCTGGGATTAGGTGACGGTGTCCCTGGCGTCCTGTGGCGAAGCGCTAGGCATAGTAGCCCCAGAGAAAGATCCCGGCGCACGTGCAGAGGATCAGGTTCACGTTCAGGACGTGTTTCACCAGCGGGTCCTCGTGCAGGACAGCCGCAACCGGCTCGGGCTTGGTGGGAGCTGCGTCCTCGGGGGAGCGCTCGTGTGGGCTCTCCATCCCACAGAGCCACAGGAAGATCCTCATCGCCTTGGAGTGCCTTTTGGTGCGGGCAGCGCCTAGAGCGATAGCAAACAGTGAGGCACGAAGTCCGTGTGGGGGACGAGCCTTGAACACCAGCACTCCTGAACACGTCACTTTAACACTGCCACGTACACACCCAGGCTGCAGCTCCTCATGTGAGGAACGTGTGAGCCACCGAGATCTAGGGGACTCCTCTAGGGGGTTCTGCTTATCCCTGCGGTCCTGTTCCTGCCCTGGAGGTCTAAGTTCAACACCTGCAGCCCCAGTGTTTCACAGGACACTACCCATCACCCGTATCAGCTGGTGCCCGTCAGTTCCCATTGCTCTGCACGTGCTTTCACCTCTCCTGGACTAGCGCTCTGCCCACTCCAAGCCCCAGGCTTGTGGCTGCAGGTTCCCCGAGCCCTGTTACAGGGGAGGACGTGCAGCTGGAGGACAAGCAGGGAATGCTGGGGCCCAGCACACGGGAGGGAGCTGGAATGCCAGTTGCAGCAAGTCGGCCCCCTCAGTGCTCTCTGTGCTAACTCCTTGCCCCTCTTCCTGCTGCTTTTGTTGCATGTAAAGGAACCTGCAGCCACAAAGGCTGGAAAGCTACTGAAACGAGCCCAGGCTTTCCACACCTGTGACGGTCATCATCTCTAAAGTGTGAGAAATGCAAGCTTGGGTGACGTGTCTGAGCCCAACGCAGGCAAGGAAAACATGCCAACAAAAATGGCGAGCCCTCCTTCGTTGCCCCCTGAGAGCGCAGCTCGGACTTCTCTGCTTTCCCTGATGCAAGAGCTGGTCTGAAGCTACCACTGGATGAGAAGTGGGCTTTCAGGAAAATGCTTGCAGTTTTGCTCCTGGTTTTCAGCTCTCCCATCCCATGGGCAGTTCAACCCCTAACACTGGTGCACACCATTTTCAGTGCCCTGTCCCTGTCCAGCTCCCTGTTTGATAGCAAGCACGTGCCATGCTATCAAGAGGTGTAGGTGAAACAAACCCCCGATCTACAGTCTTAGCAGGTAAAAGGCTTTTAGTATCCTGGAGACAAGCAAGCTGAAAGATACCACAGGAGTCATTTAATGCTTCCTGCCTTTCTGAAGTGCCCAGGGTTGGGTTTAACTGCAGTGGCTGCTGTGGGGAGCAGTGGGGCACTCACTTGTGTTGTCGTTGGGAATGCTTTCAGAAGCGATGCTGAAATCCATCGGGACGGCCGGACGCTCAGCTTTGCCTCCTCCACTTACAGCATCAGGAAAAGAGCCACCAGCTGCAGCTTTTGTGGGTGGTGGATCCCAGCGGGTGGACCAGGTAAGACGACTGATCTGGTGGCAGGAAGAGGGGTGTTATAGAACGTGGTTTTAAGGGGATGCATCAGCTCAGAGGGGCGGCACCGTTTAGGAAGTCTCAGGGCTGAGTTCTGGTCTGACACCCAAGCCGCGCTCTCAGAGCTGCTAACATCAGTAACCACAGGGACAATTATTAGTGCCACAGCTCTGCTCCCATGGGATAACCTCCCGTGGCAGGTGACCCCATTCCCCCAGGCCTGCAACCTGTGCCCAGTTCTGCAGGGCTCTTCCTTTTGCATTATCTGGGCTATGGCACCGTGATGCAGGGCCAGTCCCTGGTGGAGGCAGGTGCCTCTTTGCCTGGTGAGATTTGACCTGTATCAAGCAGGATGGGTTATGTGTGGGATCTAGCCAAGCGGTTCTGCGAGGAACCAGCCAGGAGCTCATCAAGGAGACACCCAATGCCTAAACTATTTGGGGGAAGGGGCAGATCCGTCACAGATGAAGTGAGACGTGTTGGGGCTGTGACTTCACAGGACAGGGAGGCTGTCCGGACCACGGCCCTGTTGTGGTATCATGGTGTTCCCACATGCAAAGGATGCGTGAAGACTCCCGTCCTGCATTGCTGACACGCGTGTGACCTGGGACATTCCCACACAACTGTGAGAGAGGAGCGAAAGGAACCTACGGGGGGTGACGCACCATTTCCTCGGAAGGGGGGTCTGTGAGCAGGCTCACGACCGTGGCCGTGATGGTGGTGATGGCAGCGAGGATCATGGAGAAGTAGAGGTAGTGCACGTATTTCACCACAGCCGGTCTGGTGTCCGGCTGGCTGCACTGCGGCTGGGGGTAGATGAAGTCCAGCACCATCCGAATGAGGCCCAGCAGCAGCCCCACCACCAGGCCCCAGAACGCGCCCTGGGGAGCAAAGATCGTGGGAACAGGAAGCACGTGTTGGCATGCTGTCTGTGCACAGTGCCCAGGCCCAGCACCTTCCTAGCTGCTCTGTCCAGGTGGGAAGGGAAGGGAGCCTGGTTGGCCCAACCACTATGTCTTCCTCCTCGTGCTGGTGTTGTGCGCACACATCTGCCCTACCCCAGCCAGTGTCCTGCTGATGGAGAGGAACCAGGCAGAGGCTCTATCCCCTCATGCTGCCATCTCATTGGGTGCCCAGGAGGAGCAGGGCAGTGGCGCAGGGTGGGTGCGCTTCCTGGCACCACCCATCAGGGTAAGGCCTTCCCCAGCTCCCCAGGTGGTGCAGGTAGGCACTGTCATACTGCAGGTGCTGTGCTGTGGGTGCACCAAGCCCCTGCCCCTCTGGCTACTCTGAGGGAGGCTAAGCTGAGCTGCCAGCACACACCACAGGGCACTGGGGTAATACCTTCTCATTTGTCCTCTTCCAGAAGCAGCCCAGGATGAAAACCATGGCCACTGGGGGCTGCAGGTAGGAGCTGATGGACTGGATGTAGATGAAGAGCTGCCCCCCTTGGCTGGCCTGCACCAGCGGGATCCACAGGATGGAGACCACGACAAGCAGCAGCACAAACACCCTGCCCAGGAAAGCCAGTCACTGCCCCTTCTCCTCCAGCCGCTGCTTGAGCAGTTCCCCCTCCGCCCCATCTTAGCACGATGGTGCTCTCCAGGGCTCAGCTCTTGGTCATCTGGTCCATGGGCTATCTGGCTCATTTCCTCTCCTTTCTCAGCCAAGTCCAGCCTCTCACAGATGCCACCTCTACGTGGTCTGTGCCGGTGCTGTGACCTCACCACGCCTCAGCTCTGCCATGTCTGACATCAGTCGATGGGGCCAGATTCCTGCCCAAGACCCTTGGAAGGAGCTCGTGACTGTGGCTGTTCAGCAGAGCGTGCCCTGAGCCAGAAGGGCCTGAGTCTGCTCCCCTTTGTTTCTAGGTCCCACCAGGACAGACGGGAGCCATGGGAACCTCTCCAGGCCCCAGCCCCACTTGCCCACCCCACAGCCTGCTGGGCTGCACTGGGCCCTACCTGCCGACAACCATGAGCTCCCACTCCGAGGAGCGGGGCCGGAAGTGGCGCCACAGGTCGATGGTGAAGATGGTGCTGGCACTGTTGAAGATGGACGTCAGGGAGGACATGAGGGCCGCGATCATCACTGACATCATCAGGCCCCGGAGCCCTACAGACCAAGGTAGGGGCAGCTGTCTCATTGCTGCCCATGGAAAGCAGCCTGAGCCCAGCTTCCCTCTCGGGGGACAGGCTCCTCTGACAGCCAACTGCTGCACGCTCCTGAGCTCGACCCTTTGTGCTGCAGGCGGCAGCCTCCAGTGCCCTGGGCAGCCACCGGCCCCCCAGCCCAAAAAAACGTATCCCTCTCTACCCTTATGGCTGCCCTAGTCCCCTCCAGGGGGGCACAGGCTTTCCTCTGCCCTGCCTGCTGGGTGACTGAGAGGCACGTGAGCTACAAGTAGGGGACAGGCCCCGTCTGCCCACTCCTGTGTGGACAGTGATTGTGCTCCCTGGAGGCTCCAAACACCCAGACACTATGGTGATGGTCACAGCCATGGCCCTCGCCCTCTAGGGAACCAGTCATGCCCAGCGGCATACACACGCTGTCCATGTGCTGGAACCAGGCTCCCCAACAGGAGGATAATGGACAGGGCTGGCAGGGGCTCCTGGGACCATCAGGTCAAAGCATCTGTACAATACCAGATGCAGGAGCCACCGGGGTAACGCCTGTTTGTACCATGACCTCCTTTATAACATCTCGTCTTGGCTTAGAAATCACCTGTGCTGGAGAGTCCCCGACAGCCCCTGATCGGCCTCTCGGTGGCCAACTCCCCTCGCCATGACATTGGTGCCGTAGGCCTAGCTTCACACCTGTCCGTCCTCGTGAGCAAGCTTCTTACCTAGGGGCAGGAGCTCGATGACCAGCTTGGGGTAGGCGATGTCAGAGCAGCCGGATGGGTTGCCACAGATTTGCTTGCAGACCTCTGGATCTGCACAAGCCACCAGATCTATGAGAGATTGGGGAGGGGACAGCAATCAGGAGCTGTGAGGAACGAGTCCTGCCAAGTGATAAGCAGAGGATGGTGCGGGCCTGCCCTTCTGGGTAGAGGAGCACGTGGAGCACTGGGCATTCCCCTTCCTCAGCTCCCAGGGGCTGAGGAACAGCCCTCATCCAAAATGTGCTGCACAGGCGGCTTGCCTCATGCCCTGTCTCCTTCCCTGTGACCGCTGTCTTGCCTGAAGTGAATGGCACGTGCTGACAAGGGCAGGCCTGTGTGTAGCCAGGCCCTGGGCACCGTCAGGGGACTAGTGGCCCAAGGCTGTCTCTTTCCTCAGTGCTGCAGACCTGGGCTCCAGGCCCAAAGAGAGCAGCATCGGGAGCTGAGTTAGTACAGGGAGCCCCGGTGGCTTGAGACATGCCTCGGTAAGGAAGGGGTCTGGTTCCCAGGAGCAAGTGAGGAGCAGACTAACAAATCCACTAGAAGGAAAAAATAGTTACTGCCATCCACTCCAAGCTTCCCATATTTGAATGCATGAGGATATGACCAGGTCTGTGACCTGTAAGGAAATCTCTGGGGTGAATAGCACCCTTCTGCTCCTGGCACTTGAGCCATCATAGCCTTTTTGTTTGTTCTGCAGGGCCTGTCCCCTGGGTGCCGCGTAGCCACTGCAGTCCATGATGACAGACCTGGACACATCTCCCTCAGCTCTTACCTGGGAAGAGGATCCGGCTGATCATGCCTGGCATCACCATCATGAAGAGGGGCAAGATCTTCAGGTAGGAGGTCATCAGTGAGCCTCCTTTGGCATGAGAGAGGTTCTTAGCAGCCAGGGACCTTTGGACGATGACCTATGAATCAGGAGGACAGTTTTGTTCAGCGTCTGGTGGCAAGTGGAAAGAGTAACAAGGTGGCAGGATGTGGGTTTCTGTGTCCGGCTGCCCCCTGGCTCTGGGAGCCCAAGACGATCTGGCTGTCAGTGGCAGGAGATAATGAGCAATCAGGCCATTAGTATCATTAAGCAGAGAGAAGGATGTGAGGCCATGTGGGTTCACGCCAGCCCCATGTGGGCCATGTGGGTTCGTGTGGTGCACATTTCACTCCTGTGTTCTGACGGTCCGAAAGCAGTCGGCTACATGCTGCTGGGGGGTCAGTGGCTCCGGATTTGGGTTTGAAGCCACCAGATTCCCAGTCAACCTGGGCTCTGTCCCAAGCCTGGGGCTGTTCTGAATCTTGGCTGGCCTCACAGCATATCTAAAGGTTATATTATCCAACAAGCCGTGACCTACCTGATCTGTACACCAGTACCAAAGGGACGGGATGGTCATTCCAACCAGAACGCCCGGCCAGGGGAGGTCAGAGGTGACAGGGTCTCGGAAAATATGGAAGGCATCGTCTCGCGGCAAGCCACAGCTGCTGTTTGCCTTGTGGCTGATGGCAATGGCACTGAAGTATTTGGCTTGCAGAGCTTCAATCCCACCAACCTTAGCAAAGCCTAAAAGAGGGCACAGGAAGCAGATGCTGCATTGCCCACAAAAGCTTGTGCCTTGCAGAACAAGCTAGTCTTTATGGTGCAACCCTGCCCTGCCTTCAGCCTGACTTCAGACTACCATGACTACCTGCCTCCCCAGGTATGTTAGTGGAATTGGACCCAGACTGGCAATCACAGTTTATATGTCATTAGTTACTGGTCGAGAGGTTTGGATGGCTCTGGTATGGTATTGGTATGGTATTTTCAGGTGAAGACCACAGCTTTCCTTTTAATATTTTCATGGAGCACCTATGCATTTTTCCCCCACTGGGAACGATCACGGTATGACTGGCAAGCCCAGCTGTTCTCCTGAGAATATCAGAACCAATGAAGCGGGTTGCTCTGCTCTGTTTGCCCAGGTTCAGGCTGGGAGCCCGGGCATTGTCAGGTGGAGGCCCTCCCGGCTCCCTGGCGCATACTCACTGAAACCCATGAGCGTTAGCGCCCCGATCAGCATGATGAAGGTCTGCAGGGCGTCCGTGTAGATCACAGCTGCCAGGCCACCTGATGGGAGAGCAGAAGAGATGAGTCATGGGGGATGGGGCTGTTTTGAGCAGTGACGGCTCCTGCACTGCCAAAGGGGGCTGCCAAGCTCTCCAGCCCCCAGGCTTGGCGTGACATGCCTCAAAGATGTGGCTTGTTCTGACTGTAGTGGGAGCACCGAGACCAGCTCCCTGGGGACATTTGCCTGAAATTGCTCATGGGCTGAACTGAAAGAGGCAGCCTTGGGCAGCCCATTTGGGCACCAAGGGATGATACTGGCACATGCTCACATGCTCTATCCTCTTTTGGGGCTTTGCCTGGCTTGGCTGCTGGAAAGGGCAAGCACCTTTCATTAGCTCTGGCACGATCAACAGTGAGACATGCAGAGAGCCAAGCAAGCACGGTGCCAGCACGGGGCATCCTGTGCACCTGGGCAAGGAGGGGGGCTGTGGCGCGGTGCTATGTCCTGTCTGGGGTCTGCGGTGTGGAGACGCACCTGCTACCGTGTACACTGCTGTGATGGCCAGCAGACCCGTGACTGCCACGTAGAGGTCCCAGTGCAGCGCCTGCTGGATGAACAGGGCCCCCGCATACATGTCCACCTAATGGCAGAGAGAGTGGGTGTCATCACAAGTGAGCCCAGCGGGGTGCAGTGGGTGCCAAGCTGCCTGCCTTTTTACTCCCTTCTGGCTGCCTCTTTTCCATCAATTTTCAGAGCAGCTTTCCCTGGGGCACATCTCTCTCCAGTGCGGCCTCACCTTCTCCCCCTGCTACCTCTCCCACCTGCCCCCATCCATGGTCAGCTTCAAGGGTGCAGCCAGGCACAGCTGGGCCCTGGACTCAGAGGACAAATACCTGCCGGAGTTTTCTCATTTGGTCCAACCCCCGCCCATGGGGTAGTTAATTAGTAGCCAGCAAGGTGTTGCACAAGGGTTGATTAAATTATTTATTGACAGTCCTGAGAGCAGTAAATCACTGGAGACAGCAGGCTCCTGGCTCGCACCTTCCCGTCTATCCTGCTGACACCGGGGTCGCGTCTGAACGTGCCAGGACCTGGGCATGTTACCCTGGTGCAGGGATTGAACACCAGACATTCACGGGAACTAGAGAGGTGTGAGCCATTCTCACCATGCTCCCCTGCTCCTGCAGCACATCCTACTGCTCCCTCCTGTGCCCCCTCGGGAGCTTTCGCTGCCCTCCTTGCAGGATGTCTCCAGGGCCAAGCCCCACCTGTATTTCTCAGTGCCAACAGCCACCTCCCAAGACCATTTGCCTCAGCTGCCTTCCCCTACCCTCACTTACAGAGATCTTGGTGAAGATGTAGATGAACAAGTAGAGAACTGCCAGGAAGATCTGGATCCTTTTGCCTCCGAAGCGGCGCCTCAAGTACTCGGGCATGGTGGTGACCTGTGTGGATGGAGAGACTGCCAGAGGAGGGGCCGTGCGGCAGCTCTCTCAGTGGCAGAGGCTGGGCAGAGGGTCCCAGCTGGTGGCTTTGTTGGCATTGGGCTGCATGTGCCTCAGTATCATGGTCTCTTGGGCACTGAACAGCACTGGTGTCTTGCCACTCGGGTCTGGCACATGGGCCAATGCAGCTACTTGCAGATGGCAATAACAGTGCCCGCTTCCCCTCCAGTGCTGTGAGAGCTCTGCCTGCTCTATCCTCTGCTTCCTCTGGGCTCTGTGAGCCCCCTGGCCAGGAGTGCTGAGCCCCAGAGCTCTGGCTTTGCTACCCAGGTGATCACCTGTACTGGTAAAACCATTTGTGCCAGTGGCTTGGCCATGTCTGTCTCAAGCACCCTGCAATTCCTCCTTCCATTCCTGTGTCAGGGATGTGCCACTTCCCCTGAGCTCAGGTGTCTGTTCCCAAGGGGGAGCACTTAATTTTGGCAGGGAAACATAGCGTCCAGGGATCCAGGCAAGGGCCAGGCCACCCCTTCCTCATCCCCCCTCTTACCTGGGCAGTCCCAGCTTCCTGCAAGGAGTTTCCTGACTCCCCTCCCTAGGGAGAGCCCCTGGATATGACCTGCTGACTGCCACTGGGTGAGCAGAGCAGACCCATGAGTGAGTGAAGGGGACACAGCTTCTGCAGGAGCTTTGCCTGAAGCACAGGCCTTCCTAACTGAATCTGTGCACTGAACAAGAGGGTTGCAAAGGCAACTGCTGCACCCAGCCCAGCTGTATACTCACCCCTGCTGCTATGTAAATCGGAAGGAATAGCCAGGCCAGCACCAAGACACAGAACATGCCCTGTGAAGGAAGGGGAGATGCAGGTCAGAGGGGCTGGCACTGCTGGGGTCAGATGGCTCCTTCTCACACGTGTGTCTGGGCCTCTGCCCAGCTGTCACAGAGGCTCCATGGAGCCAGCACCTGGCCACGGTTCTCCAGCTTCTCCTGGAGGGCTCTGGGCATCTGGAGTTGGGGACTGGACTCCAGACCAGGGGAGGAACTGTTGGATCCAGCACAGTGACAAGACAGCACTGCCGCCACCACAGCCTGTGCAGCAGGAGTGTATTGATCTGAGCTGCTTTGGAAGCACAGTACAGCCGGGCAGGACCCTAACTCAGAGCGCAGCCCGATGGACCCACACCTCCCAGCTTCTTCATGCCTCATCCTCAGACAGCACGAGCAGAGCATCCTCCAGCAGAGGGGTGGAGAGCGGCTCGGTGGTGCCACCTGGCAGGATCTAGATGGGACCCCACGCTCCCGAGAGCCACGGCTGCACTCACGTTCCACTCGTAGGCTGTAGCAGCGATACCCGAGGCTGCCCCCGATCCTGCCAGGCCAATGAAATGCCCACTGCCCACGTTGCTGGCAAACAGGGAGGCACCCACCTGCAGGGGAAGAGGGAGTCAGGACCATGTCTTCCAAGGGGAATAGGCCTCAGACCAAGGGGTGACCCTTGGGTAAGCCTCATCCAAACCACTCGCGCAATCATGCCAGCTCCAGGGCCCGGGCTTCACCTTCCTGCTGCCCAAGGTAGTGAAATCCTGTTGTCCCTTGCTGCCTTTCCTCCCCTCTTCCCTGCCTGCTTTACTCTCCCGGGCACCTCTGCCCAGCATCCTTCCTTCCCTCAGGGCCTGTTGCTCATCCCAAGATTTGCTCCAGAGCTCCCTGCTTCTGATTCAGCAGGGTGTTCCCGTCAGCAGGGCGTTTTCTGCTTCCGTCTTTCACAGGGACAGAAACAGGCCTGGAGTTTCCTCCTGCCTGCCACCGGGGCATCACCGTCCTTGCCTCCGCGCTGGGAGCCCCTCAGACAAGCAAAGGGGCCCTGTGGGAATGGGCGGAGCAGCCCAGGATGCCAGGGCACCAGCTGGGTGTTCCCTCCCAGAGACCCGTCCACCCCAGGCTTTGCAAATTCCAGCTCAAGACTGGAGGAAAGCGCTGAGCCTAGCCAGGGAGCTGAGCACCAGGGAAGCAAGCGGCACACTCTGATCCTTGGGTCTGCAATACGCTGGCATCCTCTCAGCAGAGGGATCCCACAGGACGCAAGCACCACCCAGGCAACACTTACGGGCCACCACACCATGTCCCCACCAGCCAGGAAGTAGCCCTTCACCGTGTTCCTCTGGGTCTTCCACATGGACTGGGGAGGAAAGACAGGGCAAGAACGTCAGACCCCCGTGCACGTGGCCCTAGCACCCTGCAAGACCAGTGCCCTGTTGCCAACAGGCTTGCTCCAGATCCATGAGGAGCGTGAGCCAATGATGGTACAAAGCAACATGTCTTCTGACATCCACTGCATCCTGGGTAACGCTGATCAGGTTGGGACCAGACTCTCAGCCCTGGAGTCCCCCATGCATTGACTTCTCCAGCGCAGCCTGTGGGATGCCGTGGCTGGGGCTGCAGCCATTCCTATCCAGGCTGGCTGAAGCCACGCTGGAGACCTGACGTGAGCCAGGCACAGATGGACTATGCCAGCGCAGCCAGGAGACCTGCAGAAGCAGTGCCTTACCCACAGCCCGACAGCCAGGACGAAGAGGAAGTACAGGACAAGGACAGCGATGTCTACGGCTTCCAGCGTGTGCTGAGGAAACGCATCCCACGTGGGCATGACGGAGGTGCCAGGTGGAGTGCTGTGGGGGCTCTCCATGGCTGCTGGTCAGGGCGGCACTCCTTTCCCTCCGGGTGCATTTATCTGGGCGAGAGCAGGCTCACTGTTACCGGGAGGCACGCAGCTCTGTGCTGAGTGCCCCGCGGGGCCTGGGCACCCTGGCTGTGGCCGGGATTCTGCTCAGGTCAGTGCTGCAGGGGAGACGGTTGCATTCAGCTGTGTCCAGGGATCCCCGTCACTGCCATGGAGCAGCTGGAGACTGAGCCAAGGAGGGCGGCTCGGGCAGTCTGGTCAGTGAAGCCAGCAGTGCGGGGGGAGCAGTGGAAATTTTCCTGCTTGACCCTCTTAAGGGCTGGGCCAGGCCCAGAGGAGCCAGCTCGAATCACCTCACTGGCAAGCCCAAACTCCTGGCTCTGAGAACCAACCCCTCCACATAGCACCCAGCATGTGGAGGCTTGGCAGCCTCGCACCAAGCAGAGAGTACAAACCCTCAGCCCTGGGCAGGGCATGGAGGTCCCAGGGTTTGCCGTGCCTGAGCAGCTGATGTAAGAACAGCCTGGGCAGGGTGTGCAGGGACCGGCTGGAGTCCTGCAGAGGGGTCAGAGGGCTGTGCTGCTGGCTCCTAACCAGGGGCTTCCTGCCCCAGGCAGAGCGGGGCCCCGCGTCCCCAGGGCACTTGCAGCAAGGGGAAATGGGGCCAACTTCGTTAGTTCTCTTTTATGAGCCTGTTCTTCCCAGCCTGGCTGCAGGGTGGCACACAGGGCACTGGCTGGGCTGAGCAGCCCAAGTGCCCTGCTGGTGCCCTGTGCAGCTAGGGCACAGATGCTTCCCTCGGGGAGAGTCTGGGGGCTGGGAGTCAGTACCCGTTGTCTCCAAGGGAAACACCTGCTGCAGGACAGGTCCCAGGTGAGTGGCTCCGGCAGCCGCAGCCAGGGAGTGTCCCCCCCTTCCCACCACCGTGCCTCCTTCAGTTTGAGAGGGGGCACTGAGCCAGGTCCCCCTGGCTCCCACCAGCATCTCGCTGTCCAGTGCTGCCCTGAAAAACCTTTACCTCTCCTGCCCCTGGTGTGCACAGAGGTGGTTCCCTGGGACGGGGCTCCGGTTCAGCGGCTCACTCACTGTGTCATAGCCCCTCAGGGGGCTGGGCTGGGCTGGGCTGGGGGCGGCTCCAGGGCCTCGGTGACAGCCTGGTCAGGGTGGGGGCATTTGCTGCTCCTTGCTCCCTTGGCACTCGCTGGCAGACAGGCAGGTGCCTTGGGCACTTGCAGCACAGCCCTCGTGCTTCTACCCAAAGAAGGAGGGGTGGGAGAGCCTGTCTCCCCCAAGAGACCTGAGACTGAGCTGCACCCTGCTCCTGCAGGTCTGCGGGGCGGCGTCTGCCTGCTGCTGCTCTGGCAGTGGCACGGAGCAGCCGGGAGCAAGGAGCAGACAAACGAGTTCTCCCACAGGATGTCCCAGCCCCCTCCAGGAAGCATGAGCTGGGACAGCCCCTTCTCCATGGGTGTTTACTGCACTTCCATCACCAGCCTCACCAGGTGGCCAACATGGGATGAATTAGCATCGCCAGGAAACAGCTCTGGCCAGCAGCTGCCAGCTCCGGACAGCCTACAGGCCAGACACAGCTTGCCTGTGGGGCACAGCTTGTCCCTGCACCTGCATAGGGCAGGCTCCCAGGAACTCATCTAATGCCATCATGTGTGGAGCCAACGCTGCAGATGGACCAGGATGACAGCACGGCCTTCCCCGCTTTGCAGTGCACAGGGTGGCTGGGTGGCCAGCCCCTGCATCTGCAATGCCCGTCTGGAGCCCAGCCCTGTGGCACACTGCATCGGGGAGTTTTGACTGTACCCCTGGAAGAGGTGGGGGCGAGTCCCCTAGGGAGCTACGATCCAGTGCCTGTCCTCGGAGCGGCACATCTGGACGCGCTGTACTTGGTGCTGCTGGCGCCTGGCATTTCTGCGGCTGCTTCCACCCCTCGCCACAGCCCCAGGCCCAAGCAAAGCTTGGTCCTCGAAGCTCTGCTGACAGGTAGTGCCTTCGGCCTGTGCAAGTCGGCAGTGATCCAATCTGGCTTTGGATCCGGCCACTTCGGATGGCCGCCATCTGATCTGGAGCTCCGGACCGGGTTTCTGCCTCGATCTGGCCGAAGCTTCGGTGCCGCCTCGGAGATCCGGCCATAGGGTATAATGGGGAATCAATGAAATATCTGTAACATTATTTCTTGTCCGATTTGGATGAAACTTGCGGGGATGGTAGCCTCTGATGAGCGCATGAAACCTGCCAAGTTTCAGGAAGATTGGTACAGGGGCTTGGGGGGGAACTGTACCCCAAATTCTTGAAAGCCAAACTTCTGTCACGGCTGTGTGTCACACCACAGTGGGGTGAAAACTGCAGGGCTGGTGGCTCTTACTGAGGCCACAAAGCCTGCCAGCCGTGGAGGAGATCAGTGCAGGGGAGTCTGGGGCTCTGCACCCCTAGCTGCTGACAGACAAAACTCGTGCCAAGACTGTGTCTGTCTTGGGGCAGTTGATCCTCTGTATTGATCCTTTCCTCTCCTTAGCCTGGTTTCGTAGGTGCTAATTGCTGCTCGTTATGCAGTAGCTAGGTCTCGTGTATTGAGCTGGTCCCTGGTCCCGGAGTGAATCATGATCGATCGATTGGTAGCCGGGAACACAGCAGCCCAGCAGCCAGGCCTGCAGCGGGGTCTCCCCTCCCCGCCCCAACACAGACACAGTCAGTCCCACAGTGCCCATGGCACCAGTTTTGCTTGTCTGCAGCTTGAGGGGCAGTTCCCCCCAAACCCCTGCACCGATCTTGAAACTTGGCAGGCTTCCTCCTCTCTGCAGAGTCTACCACCCCTGAAAATTTCATCCAAATCAGACAAAAAACAAAGTTATAGATATTTTATTGTTTCCCCATTATACCCTATGGCCGGATCTCCGAGGCGGCTCTGAAGCTCTTCGGGAGCTCCGAACCGCTTCGGGAAGCCGAATGAGGCCAGCGCTTCGACCCGGACGTGCTGCTTTGGGCCCCGAAGTGTCCGAAGCTTCTCCAGATCCGAAGCTCTGTCCGAAGCCTCGCACAGCCCTATAGTGCCTGCTGCAGGCACTCAACCATGTGGAGGGCTGGACCCTGTGCGCTGGGGTTGCTTCCTGCCTCTCCTGAAGCGTGTGCAGGTCTAGGTTGCAACACCTGTACAGTGCACAGCGTCAGCAGGAGGGAGTTACCTTCCCAGAGGAGACTGTGGCTAAACAGGTACTGGTCTGTTGGCAGGATCCCCTGGCCAGCCTGGCAGGGCACGAGGGGCATAGGCAGCTCTGCTGCTGCTGATTGTCAGCACTTGCTGTGCCTGGGGCCAGTGGAAAGTTTGCCTGTGTTGTGAATTCAGGTCACAGCCTGGTCTCCCTTGGCTCCCTTGGCACGAGCGGCAGCGCTCCGCTAGGCAGGGGCTTGGAGGGGACAACATCCGTGGCATCAGAATGAGCCAGCCCTGCATCAATGGTCCCAGCCGAGGTGGCTGCCCACGTGGTCCCCGACACCAGGGGGATTGTATTGTTCCTGTGGCTTCTCACGCAGGATTTTTTAAGCCTTCCCTGGGCTGCACAGGGCTAGCAAAGCCTAGAGCAGAACCGAACCTGCCAGGATCCCCGGAGTTCCCAAGCGCAAGGTAGAAGCTGAGGGCACTTACTGCGTCCAGCCAGGTCTCATTCTGCTCCCCTGCGCGCGGCACCAGCAGCCTCCTGCCAGCTGACAGCACGGCTTAAATATTGCCAGGGGATTGGGCTTTGCCAGCGAAGCTGTGAACGGTGTCACAAGGGATGAGAAGGAAAGTTTATGGGCAAAGTTAAACTAATTGGCCTCCCCCACCCCCTAGCTGCTCTCTGTGTCCCTGGCTCCTCTGGTGAGAAATGTGTTCTTGCTGTCACGGCCCACGGTCAAACTCCAAAGTGTGCCATTCACTTAAGCAATCATTCCAGCTAAAGGGGAAGCAAGTGGCAGAGAGGGAAGTGCCCTGCTACCCCACCTGCCACCTCCCCACCCTCTTGGAGAGCTGAGATTGCAATTGGCCCCCTGGCCCTGGAACTGTACAGAGCAGAGCCAAGCCCCGTCTCCCCTTGTCCCAGCCCCAGGGGCTCTTATCCCAACCCCAGGTATTTGTTTCGCACCCGGGGCCCAGCCTGAATCCAGACCTGTGCTCCCAGCTCGAGCGTATGAGAAACACATGAAGTGAGGCACCCATGTCAGATAGGAAACGGACAATAGAGGGAGCAGACCCCTCCTAGGGGAGGAGGCATCACAGCGGGGGGCATGGCATATCTCTCTGAGACCAGCACCAGTCATGTGCCAATCGCATCTGGCTGGGCACTGCCCAGGAATGCTTGCCTCTGCCACGCTCAGCCTGGTGTCAGGTGAGCTGATCGCCAACCCTAGCCCATGCTTGCAGGGTGTTTAAGACACTGGTGTGCCTCCAGTCACGTAGCTAGCCCAGGCACGACCTGCTTCCAGGTGCTGGGGTTTTTCGCTAGGATTTCAGTCTGTTTTCTTCTCTCAGGGTATTTTTACCGGCCTTTCAGCTGACCTGGCCTCGCTTCTGCTTTGGCCGGGGGTGACCTCCCCTGCCAGCAGGGAATGGAGCCACTGAGATGCCAGCCATCTCATGAGATGCCAGCCATCTCATGGCTTGGCCTTGCAGTGAACTTCCCCAGGGACCCGTCATCGGCTGCAGCTGAATAGAAGTGTCTTGTCCTGCCTGTTGTCAGTGTGAGCTCCCCCCTCCCCGGATCCCAGGAGCATTGTGGTTTTGCCAAAGTTTTCAGAACAACTGGTGCCCCTCCCGGCGCCCCGGCTACTAGAACCAGGAGCCAGGTTGCAAACTCTGTGTCTGTTGGCTTCGTTTTCTAGGCCTAGAGGTCCAAGCAGGGACAAGCTGAGCACACTCCAAGGCTCAGAGTCCTGGGTGGTCAAGGGAGTAAGATGAGCCCAGGATTTCGTGCCCCATCTCAGGACTTTTGGAAGCAACTCATAGTTTTGGGCTGCCTGGAGCAGGCAACACTGGAATGCACTCTCTACCCTGCTCAATACCAGCGATCGTCTAGAACCACGGCTGTGACCAGCGACAGACAGGCCCTGGGAAGGCTCAGGGTTGCCATCCAGACACCTGCCAGCCCCTGGTGCTTGTGCACGGCCATCAGCCCGTGCAGCCCAGAAACACCTGGGACAGCGGTTTTGCCTGGGATTTCCATCTGTCTACGCAGGTTCCCCCGTGGCACCCACCCACACAGCATCACCGCACGAGCCACCAGGAACAGAGCGAGGCACTTGGACTCACTTTGAGATACATCAAGCCAAGCTGAGGGGTTGGTTCCTGGCTGGGGCTGAGCTCCTACCGTTCTGCCTCAGCCCGGCAGCCTGTCAGGGCTGGTTCAGGCCGAGCTCTGCTGGGACTCCATTAGGGCTTTTCGCTGTCTTTCCAGCATTTCCTTGCTTCTCGTGGGAACCAGCACAAAGCTAAGTGCCAGCCAGATTTGCTTCATTTACAGCATGCCCAGCAATGGCTTGGGGACGATTTTGTTGCTTGCGTGGGAGGGAGACGATGTCTTCCAGGCTGTGCCAGGCCAGGAAGGAGCCCTGGCCGCTTCATGGTGCCCAGGGTGGTCACGAGGCTGCCTCCTGCATTCAGTGTTTCCTTCCCAAGGCCATGCGCACTGATGAATGAGTGAGTGAGTGGCAGGGCTGGGCACAAGCTGTTAACCATTAATGGCCCAAGGCTCAAGGGGCAGTGCTCAAATTATGCTGCTTTTGTCTATGTGGAGTGTGGGGCGTATCCATGAAGCAGCGAATGATTTCAAGGAAAGGTGAGGTATATTGTGCTGAGTCCTGGTAAGCAATTTAACCGGGGAACAGAATCACCGCAGAGCTGGCCCCGGGTTGGCATGCTCAATGGCACCCTGCAGGTTGCCTTCGCTGGGCCTGTGCTCGTTAATTCAGGCTACCGCTCTACGGTCTGGGCTGTCACATTGTCTGAGCCAGCTGTGAAGGGCTCAGAGCTTTGGGGAGGAAGATACATCTATCTGAACTGCCTGTGGCACAGAGCGCCATCCCACGGAGTGGGTTTTATCCCTGGCACTTCATGAAACCGTTAGGCCTGTGCTAAGGCCTCACTGAGCCAGGCTTAGCACAAACCTTTGCAAACAGGCAAAACTAGCAAGAGCAAAAAGACCCCGGGCTGGCATGACGAGAGATCAGTCACCCTTTCTTCCCTGCTAGCGGAAGTGCAGTTAGTGCTGTGGAAGAGAAAGCCCCCGGGGAATGCAAACTCTGCCAAAAATCACTCTGGAGAGGAATGCAAGCTACTGGCTCCTGCCCACACTAAACATTTGCTTTTGAGGACTGCAGCACGGCCAGCGCTATTTTAAACTCCGTGTGCTGCCCTAAGACCTGATTCACAGGGAGCCTCCCTCCGACTTACGCAATTAGCCCTTCTGTTTCGCTGTTGCCATTGAGATGGTAAAACAAGTTAAACCTCTGCCTACCTGGGCACTTATCTCTCAGGGGAATAAGAAGAGCTGTGTGAAAGACTCGGTCTTAAGATGTGCTGCCGCAGCATGGCCAACCACAGAAACTCACCACACCTTCTCTGTAAGGCTGTTGTGGAAAACAAGGGTGTGTTATAAAGCAGGGTTTACATCAGATGGACTTCACTGTAGGTGGGAGGCAGAAGGCAATAGCTTTATTTGGGGGGTAGAGAGGGTTTGTGCAGAGGCTGACCTGTGGATATACACAGACTCCTTATATCAAATCATGTAACCGTACCTCCGAAGTTCTGGGTCTTTGAAAATATTCACGTAAAAATACCATCTGGGAACAAAGGGTTCGGAGTCCTAGCTCTTCAGTAAAGTTACAACAGGGAGCAACAACTATGTACAGCATTTTCATTAGTGACCGGTTCAAAAGAGCCTCAAGTGGTTTAAATATTTAATGTGTCCTTAAAAAAAAAAAAAAAAAAAAAAAAAAAAAGGAGAGAGAGATCAGCTGGACACAGTCTGCAGCATCTGAAACGAAGAACAGAGGAGATACGTACACATTGCCCTATCGTCGTCAATCAAGGAAAAAGACAGACAGGCCTGAGCATCCGGTAATACGATGCTGAAAGCTACCTGGCACTTAAACGGAGAACACTGGTGGAAGTATACATCACTGTCTACAGCAGGGCTTTAAAAAAATACTGAAAACAAAGGGCTGGATGTTGATAAGGTCTCCTGTAAATAATGCACCGGTTGGTGAGTCCGTGCTGTTGGCGGACGCTGCAACGGGACTTTTGCTCTGGCGTTCAGCGAGGAGAGGTGTTTGGATGAGGGGTGTTACCTAAGCCGGGGCTGCTGCTGGAGCGTTTCGTGGAGTGGGATGTCAGAGCACGTCATGTTGGAAAGGCAACAAATGTGTTTTGCACAGAGTAATGCCTCGCAATGTTAACGCACCGGCGGGTCACTGCTGCCAGGACTGCAGCGAGCTGTGCTGCCGAGAGGCACATGCGCTGACCATGGGAGTGGCATAGAGCTCTAGTCCCAGGGCAACATCCCAGATGTAATTACATTTACATATGGAATAATCAGAAGCCGTGGGGACAGTAGTAGCGTGTGTGGGTCTGGAGTGCACAGGCCGGGCGGGCTCTGTCACAGATGTTCCCCGGGGGACTGCAGCACCTTGGGAAGCAGCTCAAAGGTAGAGCACCCATTGCATTTCCTGCTAGACTCCCTGGCTGGTCTCAGACGCTACAAGGCAGATCTTCCGCTGCTGAAAGGCATCCCAGTGCTTTGCAGATGGCCCAGGGGTTTGCACTTTCCTTGGAGGCATCAAAATGCTCAGTGTACTGTGTCTCCCAGGCAAGTCTGCGTGGAGCTGAAGCGGAAGATATTACCTTCCGAGTGAGCCATCAGGACCCACCAGTCACAGACACAGGCCTAAGCAAAGAGCACGTGCATTTTGGGAGAGGGCAAGGACATGGAATCAGATGGGATCTGTGTTCGGGAGCTCAACAGCTCTGCCGTGCACAGCTCTGGAAGCTGATTTCCTTCCATCCTCCCTAAGCCAAAGGGTTGAACCCCGACACGCTGGCTCAGCCTGACGCAGGACTGGGTGCGTGCCACTGCAGGGGTGCAAGGGGCTGGCAGTGCAGAGGGGGGTCGGAGAAGGGGGTTGGCCTGACTTGTCAGGAGCCACTGGCAGTTCCTGGGGAAGCCCATTCCAGCAGGGTCTGAGCCTGCCCAGGGCAGGGCAAGCCTGACTCTGCTCTCATTCAGCCCACCGGTCCAGGTGTGGGGTGCAGTGCCAGAGAGCCTGGTCCTGGCTGCACAGGGCGGGGAGGAAGGACCTGTGTGTACCTGCAGTGGAAGTCCTGGGCAAGGAGCGTTTGTGACTGCCAGGACAGGCCGAGCATGAAAGCCAGAGAGGGGTTCTGGTAGCCTGATGTGCCTGAACGCCTGATGAGGGAACACACTGGGGACGTGGCTGCTCAAGAAGGAGACCGTGGAGGGAGGGCTAGCACAGCGCTTCTGCCGCAGCTGCAGCCCTGGGTGCGCCCCAGTGCCCAGCCCTCAATTCACCTGCAGTGCTGCTTTACTGTCCCTGTTAGCACAGATCAGACCCTCCCCCTGGGGCCACCGTTCTGGTCTTGGCGCCCGCCCCCTATTTACAGCCCAACACCATGGGAACCGATTGCACTTGATTGGCAATGAAGCGTTGCCCCTCGGGTCGCCACCAGCCCATCACCAGGCGAGGGGGGAGGTCATCCTGGGACTGCGTTGGCTCTCGCCCACCTGCACGTCCCCCAGCGCCCGCTGCAGGGAGAGAAGAACAATGGAGGTGGGACATCAGCAACAGCCAGCTCTGCCCAGGGCTTTGCATCTGTCCTTAAAGGACCACCGGTCCCCATGTGAGTGTACGCAGGTGGTCCTCAGCCCCTGCACTGGGCCCACTTCCAAGGCTGCCAGTCAGCTTCGACTGTGGGACCCGGTGTGCTCACACCTAGGGCAGGCTTTCCCTTCCAAAGAGCCAGCAAGGAGCAGCTACTACTTTCTCCCCTGTCAGGATCCAAGCCACAGGCTACCAAGGTGAAGTGCTGTGGGCCCATGCTGGCCTCCCAAGTTGGTCAGCTTCTGAACTCAGCTTTGGGAAAAGCTGTGGATTTAACTCGCCTTTGGGCACAAGCATCCAGTGAAACCTGCACTGACCCCACGGCACCTCTGGTTTCCACAAGGAGGCAGCACCCCTGCCGACGGCCCCACCGAAGTGCAGCTCACCTCAAACTTGCTCATGAACTCGGCAAAGATGCCAAAGAAAGCTTCAGACGTCGTCGCTTTGGAGTCTTCCCCAAAAAAGGACAGCACTTTGCTGAACTCTTCCATGGACTTCTGCTGCAGCTCCTCCAGGGCCTGGATGGCAGGATGGGCACTCTCCAGGAAGGACTGAGAGGAGCAGCTTAAGGGAAACCAACCCAGAATGGATCATGCTCCCCATGGCACACACAGGGTAAGGAAGGATCTGCTGTGGCTGCACATGAGAGGCGAGTTTAACAGAACTTCATGCCCGAGCAGAGGTGGTTTCACACGTGTACACTTCTCTCCCTGCACCACCTGGAGCAGGAGGGGAGACCAGAGGGAAAGCCTGCTGGCCACAGAATGGGGGCGGCTTTCTCCAGCTCTGCAAGGATTGCAGCATGGCTGCGTTGAGGGGCCTCCCCACTTGAACAGGGCGTTGAAGTCCCAGGCGTGCCCTTCACTAAGCACAGGGCGGTGCCTTCTGGCCGGCTGGCCAGGACACTGGCTACTCACCGGACAGGAGGACAAAGGCAACCGAATGCCTCACCTGGAAAGCAGTGAGGGATGCTTGTGATTTACCCCTCTTATGGAAGGATACACTCATCACAACAGCAAACCGGTCCTCGGCAGTAGCCGGCATGTTGCGACAGGTCGTCTCTATCTCACTGACGGTGGTGTGGAGGTCACTGAGGTCTGCTGTCAGCATCCTCTGATTCACTAAATGAGGGGAGGGTTTAAGATAGTGTCACTGAGATGCAGACATGACTTGGGCAGCTCCAAGCCCGAGCTTCACGCAAAGAGCTTCACAGCCACCTGCCTCTTGATCTAGAGGTGTCACCTGTCCAGGTCCCAGTGAACCCTGCTCCCGTGGGATTGGGGTAACAACTGCATTGCATTGTGGATGAACTCAGGCCTCTGGGAGGAGAGAACACGACTTTCTTCCTAACCCCAATGGGTTCGGAGGAACTGCCCATTCAGGCAGATGGAGCAGGTGACAGAAGTGCAAGGGCTGAGGAGCAGTTACCAATCAATGGGCAAGGTGCTGTTGGTGGGGGTGTAGCGAGCTTAACCCCAGCACGGAAAGAAAAAGCAGCCACTGGGGGAATTCAGATCCAGGGGCCTGACTCCTGCCTCTACATCACCTTAACCCCAGTGCGGTTCAGTGAGCATCCTTCCCGAACACTTCATGGCAGCATGAAAGGGAATCCAGCCCCGTGTATTGTATTCGACATACGTAACAAGTGCGCAGCGTGTCCCAGCAGCAGAAGCCTGAGCACCACGGGACTTTTTGAACACGCCGCAGCAAGCCCTGTGGCTCTCCCCCATGCACCCTGTCTGCAGGGCATACCAGAGTGCTCTTTGCTGCTAT